AATCGGGCGTGGGTGCGAAGGTTTCTATATAGACATGTCACATGGGTGGCCAGAAAATGAATTAGGGAGATCCATTCAAGTTCCACAGTTATGGAACTAACAATATGGCCCTAGGCTCGATGATAATAATAGGTGTCTATATTAGTAGAAGGGGGGGGGGGGGGGGGGGGGGGAATTTGATTTAAAATAATTATTATACAGTCAACGCCCGCTTATTGTACACCCGCTTATTGTACACCCGCTTATAGAACACGCCCGCTTATGGTACCGCTTTCGCTTGGATGGACCCACTTTTCCTTAGTTCCCCATACAAAACATTCGCTTTTAGAACGCCCGCCCTTGTACACTCCAATTTCTGCTGAGTCATTCACTTAGTCATTTTAGTCGGCCAATAATATGTCTGTAATCTCCGCACGTGATCCACCCCTACCATACTAAATGTCAGACCGGCCACTGAGGCACCTACTACAACACCACTACTAAAGCGTGCTATAGTAATTTCTAAGCTAGTGTTCATAAGTAATACTTAAGCGATATATGATAAGGTAATTAAGAGGCTAAGTCATGATGATATATGAATTTTTTATCATCTTATTCAAATTTTTTGATCTTACAGGGGAAGATATTAGGGAAGATGAGACCGATGGGCAAGATATATATCTCAGTGTAGAGAGCTTAGAACCGTCAGGTGACCTTAGGAGGTAGGGAAGGAGGCCTGGATAGGCAGTAGGGCTTAGGGCTAGCTTATGTCATCCGCTCACTTTAGAACACGCCCGCCTATAGTACACCTTTTTCCTTGGATGGTAGGGTGTACTATAAGCGGGCGTTGACCGTAATATAAGTAATATATAAATTCAAAAATTCCTAAACTTCACTTATAAAGAGGTAGTTAAACGTGAAACCTAGTAAATAATTTCAAACGATTCTCGGAAACGAAACGAAAGTAAAAAACTCCTCCTTCCACGTCACTGGCTTTAAATCTTCTAACTCTAAAATGAACCTATCCCTCACGGTCGAAGAGCTAATATTACCACCCTGTCGGATATTCCGATACTCAGCCTTTTCTTCATTCCTCCAGAAATGTGGCCACATCATTAACTGTGTTTCCTGTCCATTCACAATTTTCGTTTTATTTGCCCATATTTTTGCAGGGGCACGTGCCACAATCAAATCTTTCCGGGGGACTGAAAAGCCCATTGGTGGTGGATTGATACCTTTGGACTCCATGATTTCGGCCAGCTGGTCTTCATCCAAAGACGCGGGGAAATAGACCCAGAATAACTGAACAAAGGATTTATCCAAGTAATTGACCCAGTTATTGCGGTAAATAGTCTCGTGGGATACTAGGCGTAAAATCCCTTTGCTGGCAAGATTCTCCCAGAAAAGCTGGGCGTCCGGGGAGTCCTCGAATTCCCTTAGTTTTAACATGCAGCGCCACACTACAGTAGATGGATCAGCAATTTAAATCTAACAAATTTTCTATCCTTCTTCAGTCTGGACTCACATGTCAATAGAAGAACCGTATCAGGCCGCTCGCGAGACCTTGCCCAGTGGCATTTAAAAGGGCCTGCAATTTGGACCAATAGCTGGAAATCTCTTACCCATTGATCGGTATCGGACTCCATATTAGGAGGTACTTGGAGCTCATCCCAGACAAGGATCCTCGAGTCTCCCGCATTGTTGATTAAATCGTCTCTCCGAGAGTGTTGCGACATGATAAAATGTTCCCGGTTTTACCAGAGGAGACGAAGGAGTCAAGATAAAGGAGTCAAGATAAAGGAGTCAAGATAAAGGAGTCAAGATAAAGGGGTCAGAATTAAGGAGTCAAGATTCAGTAGAAGAAAAGTCTGGTAAAGCCTTAGAATATTTTTGGACCCACCCAAATTATTTCTAGTCTAGATATCTCACTCTAGACTTAGCAACAATCCTGGCTAGACTAATATATATTGACCTGCACTGAGTCTCATGTATCCGTCCGAGCGTATCTTGAGTTAGGTTTCCAACTTCCTGTCAGCATATTAGATGATGTAAGCTAGCTAACGTAACTTAAGCGAGCTGCGCATGTAAGCGAGCTGCGCACCCCATCAAAAACGCGTGGATTAATTAGACCGTCTATCTCCAACCACCCACCATGCCCCCAATTCGCTCTCAAAATCGTCAAAAATCGACGGAACAAGAAGGTCGGCTCTTACTTGCTATCTAGGCTATTCAAAAGTAGGAAAATCTATTAAATCGCGAGGCAGCATGTATATTTAACGTGCCCGAGTCCACGCTTCGTGCGCGTCTCCGCGGCGTCACTAGACCTGGACAAAACCCGCGGGAGGTCCTAAATTCTTGTCCCGTGCCCGCGGGTCCTTAGTCATACGGGCCGGGATAATATGGTTTTGACCACCACGCCCCACTCCCATGGGATTTTTTTTTTACCGATTTCCCGTCCTGGGTATACCCACGGGTTTCCCATGGGAGTCGTAAAATTACCCATATCTACATAAAGTCCCTGTATAATCTGCTGACTAAGAATACTGAAAGATTGGTAATTTAAGCTGTTTTGGTATGTAATATAGAGCTAGAATCGAACTTAAAACCTTAAAAAAAGGGTAGTTCTAGTGGAGTTATATAGTCACGTGCGTATATAGATTACTACTAAAAATACAGAAAAAATTGGATAATTAATGCATGTCTAAAAAGGGTAGGTTTGCACTGTTTACAATACCCGTGGGAATACCCATATCCCATCGCGGGCGGGATATACCCCCTAGTCCCGCCCATGGGACGGGATAAACCATTTTTGACCACCGCGCCCCACTCCCGTGGGACTAGTTTTTATGAAATTACCCGTGCCACGGTCTATCCCATGGTGGGAATCCCGCGGGTTTTGTCCAGGTCTACCCACAACCATGATCAGACGTACAGTCTTACCGTGGTACGTCAGGATAGAAGAGGACGATGAGTGCTTTGAGACTATAGAGAGTGGCAAGTGGGAGGACGTGGCGAGGTCTCATCGTGACCTTGCCCTATCTAAGAAGACACCGTCGGGTATAGCTAGTGGGCACTATACTAGCCCCGAGCAGGTGTTTCCAGCGACTACGTAGATGACGGGACTAGGTGCTATCTCGGACGCCTTAGTCGGTCGTGTTCGGTGGAGCTCAATTAGTGTAACTAGCGAGCTAGACGTTCTCTTTAGAAAGGACCAGGCTGCTAGGATCAAGTTCATATAAGACTGGAGAGCTAGGGCTGTCCTCCGGTATAGGCAGCTATTCCAAGAGGTTATTATCGCAGAAAAGCGCATTTTTGGAGAGAATTCGTTCTTCTACCTCCATGAGACTGGAAAACCTATTCCGCCACCCTTTCTGGTGCCCCCGGCTGGAGAGCTTACCTCAATAGAGGTTTCTAACGAGGAGATAGAGGTTGAGGAGTAGATTCAGGTCTCTTTCTTATATTTTCTGCATGTTTTCTATATGTTTTTGGTGCGTTCTTGTTGCGTTTAGGCTCTACTATTTATGTTAGTTGCCTGCGAGGGAACTCCCTGTTACCTGTTATTACGGGTTCTTGCGGAAAGAGTTTTTCCGAGGGTTTTTCCGGTTCGGGCCGTAACCAATAGTTTTCAGTACGTGGGCAGGTAGGCCCAGGATAGTATAACTAGCATCTAGTAGATAGCATGGAATAACACACTCCTACACCTCTCTCAACGGACCATGTGGTTTTCTCGTACGTCCTGCGGTGGCTTGTGTGGTTGTTCTGCGTGCTGAATCGACCCGCACATCTTCGAGTGTGCTGCCAACGAGCGTTCCCCTCTTCAATATATAAAAATATTAGCTTCCCCCGAGGGTAGAATGTAAATCCGTTGGACTCATGAAGATTAAATGCCTTAGACCCCGACCCACTTTTATTTCCCCATACTGGAGCCGCTCACCCTAAATCCCTTGGTGTCTAAGGGAATTACCCCTATGGGTTAGATTATTTATTCCCGTATCCCGTTATAGTGGCGTTCTCCGGCGGCTCTACTTAGGCTCTCGCTGCCTTAAGGTTCACCTACTCCGGGTCGAGGTTCGCGTTAGGGGCCTCTCCTACTGGGGTTGTGCCCTTAGTCGAGGACTCCTGCGCTCCTAGGTGGAGAAAATCTCCTGCTCCAGTTCCTTCTTATTGCTCTTCTATGGGGTTATCAGGTCCTTCGTGCCTTATTGCACGGTTGCGCGTGTTATACGATATATCGTTCTTCGCGAGTTCTTCGTATCACCGGTCGTATCCTTGGTGAGAAGTGATTATAATGTTAAGGCGTGGGCCTTATACGGTTGGATTGGATACGAGTGATGACACGAACTGCAGCACACGCAGTGCTGTTGTCATATTGATAATATAATCACTGGAGAGCTCCCCTGGATCTCTCCCGTGAGCCTACTTCTGTTGTGCGGCTTATCTAATTAGTTACCCGAACATATCGGAATAACCTTTCTCTAGCATCTCTAGCTGGTAGTAGCATACAGAAGTGTTCTCATGCGCTCATACGCCTGTTCTCTGCCTCTTGTATGGCTCTTCCATAGACGTGTCGTAACATGTGTCCTATTTAACTGCCAGATCACATTAGAGATCTTCGGCGGGATCTAATCTAAGGTAAAGCCAGGCCCCAAGTAGGCTGTGTCTCTAGCTATTTATTTAATGGGACATTAAATCCTGCTTTTTTGTGTCACTCGACCTAGAAACTATTCCCTGCTTGCAGGAAGGCGGAAGAATGAATCCGGATAGAGCTTAGTCGCACAAAAATACGAGCTTCTTGATTTACTAGTGATGCCGATCATGTAGATCCCAGAGTAGCGATTCTGGTGAAGATTGACTATCGCCTGATTCACCAAGGATACAACTTCTGAATCTTTCTAGCTTTGACCTCACTATCGCAAAACATTCTCATCGCGTGAGTAGCGAGCGTCGGAATAGGGGCTTGACACCGTTAAATACTTAACTCCTTCTATTAGGCGCACCAACGATATTGAAACTGAGTCTTAATGGAGTTCCGCGACGCCACCTCCCTTAGAGGGCTTTTATCCTACAGCCTGCGGCACCCTTTAGAGTCACTATGTAGCCTTGGCCCGACTCTGAACGAGGCTACATTCGGCCTGCTTGGCAATTCATTCAAGCCGGAATACGATATCCTTAGCCTTGAGGGCAAGGTCATCTTAATCACCGGAGGTACTAGCACTTGTTCTTTTATTCAACACCGACCACTGTTATAACTAACACAGAAGCTCTTCATAGGTGAAACCGGCATCGGCAAAGAGACTATTCTTCAGCTCGCAAAGCACCACCCAGCTCGCATTTACATCGCAGCGCGTTCTGAAAGCAAGGCACGCGAGGCTATTGCCTCAATCCAGATACAACTCTCTTCTCCCGTCGATATCAGATATATCTCGCTTGACCTTTGCTCTTTCCGGTCTATACGCGACGCAATGGACCAGTTTCAATCGGATTGTGACAGGCTGGATATTCTGATCCTCAACGCAGGAACAATGTGTAACCCGCCCACAAAGACGGAAGATGGAATCGAGACCCAGCTAGGTACTAACTACATAGGCCATTTCCTGCTCACGAATTTGCTTCTGCCTACGCTACAAAGAACTGTCACCCGTATCGAGGCCAGTGGTACGACCCCCGACGTACGTGTTGTGACCCTAGGGTCCGCAGCCCACGTTATGGGCCCAGCCTCTTTTGAAGGTCTAACTTCCACGTCCTTATTGCTAGCTGCTAGCACGTGGAAACGTTATTGTGCTTCTAAAGCGGCTATTATCCTATTTACTGCGGAGTTCGCCCGTCGGAATCCACAGATCTTGTCGATCTCCGTACACCCGGGCGTTGTAAATAGTGATTTGTTTATGCACGCAAAGGCGACTGGCTTCTTCATGAAGTATAGCCTCAAGGTTGTGCTATGGTTCTTCCGAAATGTAACCACCGGGGCACTCAATACGCTTTGGGCAGCGACTACCAATCAAGACAACTTGGTCAATGGGGCCTACTATACTCCCGTTGGGTTTCACAGTCATGGAGCCTCCTTTGTTCAAGACGCCGATATAGCCCAGAAGCTTTGGGACTGGACTGAGGCTCAATTTCCAACCCTTAATTATACTCTATGCGGTTGCTCTGGCTAGACCATCTAGTTCCACCATGCCATACTACGACCTGATATTTCCCCAGTTCGCCGCCCGTGAAATCGCTATACCTTATTACCCACAATCCGACACATGTTGAATGAATTTGGGCCGGTACAAATGTGAGCTCTTATTCCAAAGTGTTCGAAGACACAGGAACGGCTACATGTTCCTGGTCTCCGAAAGATTTCTTGTGCTGGTCGACAGGGGATGATCCAGATATTACTCTACGAGCTCTCCTCACGGAGTATGCCTAGGGGCAGCTAGCAAGGCTATATAGATAAACACTTTCATTTACACATTTTCTTCGTTGCCAAGCAAATTGCCACTGAGTGTGGCCTTTGGTCCTTCTACGTCACAATTTAGCTTTAAATAGCCTATTTCATAAACCATTATCAAGGCTCCTATACAAGTAGCATAGCGCCGCGACAATTTTGATGTTGAAATATTGAGAGAGCTCACGGTGATGACGGTTGACTATTTTTGATCTTTGGACATTCCTGGAGAGTTATCAAACATTTGTTTTCTCTTTTGTTTGACTCCTTTGCAAGTTCCACGCAAGACCAGGTTGAATTCAAGCACCCGCCGCGATCTTGATGTCCACTCCCCTGACCGACTTCCACTCAATGCAGAGGGTACTAAAGAAAGAGAGTGATGTCACGGCGACCGACACGTAGAAAGTATGTGTCAACGCTTGGTTATAAGCAGTCAGCACCACCGGCAGGAACTTGTGTGGTATCAGAGTTTGAATCTGTGTGGCGCCCGCCTGGATTACCGTTTTCGGGTCCAGGCCACTGAGTTGGCTAGCAGCAAAATTAGAAACGAGCTGGTTCTGGAAAACATTCTGGGCAACCGAGATACCAAGGGCTCCCCCTAAGGTCTGTGAAAACATCATGACGGCTGCCCCCACCGGGATGTCGGCATATGGCAGTGACGCCTGAACGGCAACTATGGTCTGCTGCATACCACAGCCCACGCCAAAGCCAAAGAGGACCTGGTACCCAATCCATTGAGCGGCATTGCTGTTAACCTCGAAGGTTGACATCATACCCGCCCCCACGATCATCAGAATCGACGACAGCAGCATGAAAGGGGTGTAATACCCGACTATGCTAACAGTGACCCCAGAGACTATAGACATGATGACCAGAGACAGAATCAGAGGTAAGTTCATGATCCCTGACTTGACAGCCGACACGCCCTTGATCGATTGGAACCAAATAGGGGTCTGCAAGACAGTCAGCTTACTATCAATTTGTTCGGCTGCGAGGATGTGGCACACATAGTAAACCATCACGAAGAAGCCCGCTCCGGAGAAAGCACCAAAGAGCGCACTGCCCCATACGTTGCGGTTTTTGAAAACTCGCGGAGGAACTGTTGCCTTCTCTTGTTTCCACCGCTGGATTAACAAAAAACTAGTAATCAAAACTCCAAAAACGATAAACAAGGCGATGATCCTCCCACTCCTCCACGGGTATGTCGTTCCACCCCATTGCAATGCCATCAAGAGGCAGGCTATTCCGGGGACGAAGAAGGCAGTTCCTTCTAGATCCATCATGCACAGTTTCTGCTGGAGTGTCATAGTATTCTTGGTATTTTTACCTGCAGTCCTGAAGAAGGTAATAATAAACACTGTGGTCACCAAACCCAAAGGTAAATTGATATAGAAGCACCAGCGCCATGTGACATGGTCCGTGAAAGCTCCTCCAAGGCTGCATTAATAGATCAGTTAGCATTATCTCGCTTTCACATCAAGAAATTGACTTACAGAGGCCCTGCTACAGAGGCGATCCCATACATGCTTACAACAAGACCCATATACGCGGGACGCTGGTGAAGGGGCACCGTCTGGCTAATTATCAGAATAGCGCCAGAGAATATTCCCGCCGCTCCCATGCCAGCTACTGCTCGGCCCAGTAACAGTCCAGTCGAGTTTGGGGTGATTCCGCAGACAAAAGAACCAAGTTCGAATATGAAGAGAGCCGTAAGGTAGACCCGTTTGACTGAGTAGAAGGCGTACAGTTTTCCAAAGGTCAGCTGCAGTGAGCTGGTAGTGAGCAGGTAGGCGGCTCCATACCAGCCGACATCGTCCAGCGCCTGGAACTGATCTGTAATCCTGGGGATGGCGGTTGCAATGATAGTGTTATCCTGTCAACCGATACACGTTCAGCACCTTTAATATTCAAGTGATTATTCAGATGTGGATTCGCTCGTACCAAGGCCATACAAAACACTGATGAGCATAATGCAATCATTATCATGGCTAATCTCCATTTTGAAGGGTGTTCGTTTTCATTCCTTTCATCACTCTGCTCTTCGCGTTGCGCAGTCCCAAGTTTTGTTTGGGCTTCAAGCTCAAAGGGTCCATTTTCAGTGATAAGAGATGGACTGACTGCTGACTCTCCCGCAGTGATCTCTTCTCCTGTTTCATAGAAGCCGATATGTGCCTGTCGCATTTTAACGGAGGCTGAATTGACCGAGAGGACCCCAGCCAAGCCACCTACTTTCATTGTGATTGTTTTCACTTAACCACTCTGCAGGAGCTAGAACGGTTTTAGATAAATGTAAGAAGGTTAACTGACGTCATTCAATGTAGTTATTCATTTCTCCCCTAAATATCCCTTAAATATCCCTTCCAAGGGAGACTCTACTGTTGGCTGTAGGTCCCGCTCTGAAAAAGGAAAAACAAAACCATCAAAGATCAAGATCAGTTGTTGAGTATGGTGTGACACTGTGCTTATGCACGTCCCTCCATTATTGAACTTTCTCTAGAAAGGCGGACCCCGCACGAAGTTGGATAGGTCACATAACTTCAAGCACTCTCCCGATTTCAGACGATTAATAAGGACTGGTTGCCTATGGCTTGGTTTATTTTAGACTCTTTCAGATCCCTACTGCTATTTGTATTTCTTATAATCCACAAATCGCACTTGCTTTACCTAAATCATTCTCGAATAACACAAATGTCAAGGGGCTTGGAGATGGGTTTGAAAGCAGAGCTGAAGCGAAGCGGTATGTTTGCCCGTATTTTCCCTGTATATCGGTTTGCCACATTCCCCCATCTTCATAGTGTCTTAGCCAAATCGATGGGCATTCTTGTGATTGCCTTTGCGATAAACTCTATTGGATATCCGTGACTAATATACGCTGCACATGCGAAGGAAAAGAAAAGGCTACAATCGATAATAGCATGGCCGAGTTATCAATTGCTGCTGTGTTCACTCATGTTACAGTCGATGCCTGCGTCCTGAAGTTCTGGCTACTTCTTTTGGGCGGCGTGGTGGCCTTCTTCGGTTGGATAGTTCTTGTTTCTCGCTATGCCCAAGTCTGGGGGCCCAGTCCCTCTTTTGAGGCTGCTACCACATTCACCACGCTCATTAATATGACTAACAGCAGTCATTACAAGATTGCAAATCCTGCTAGTCTGTTCTATGGTGATATTTGGTGTGCTTTGGCGTTAATGGCCGCTATTGACGCATCTACCATAGTCATGAACTTCAACCGTTCGCTCATTCACCAGTTTCACTACTTCATCAGTCTACGTATGACATCGCTAGCTTTCATCATTTCCGCTCCATTTCTCTTGCTACACAGTGACGGGCACAACAGCTCAAGTCTGGTCTACCACCCGCTTGCTATATTCATGGTGTGTTGTATTGTATATATACTGGCTATTTTTGTCACCAATAAACTCCACAAGCTGCTGCCCGTCCGCGGCGTGGGGGCTTCCAGGGGTTGCCTCGAGAAATTCAGCAAGCAATTGTGCCTATTCGACCTGCCTTGGGTGCACAACATACTTTTCGCTGCCATTAACGGAGCAGTGGGGTTAGCTTTGGCAACGATAAACCCCTCCGAATGGTCAATGATGAACCCTCTCATGCTTATCACTTGGGAGGTATGACATTTCTACGCCATTCTAGTGGATTTGCTACTTTTACTCACCAAATTTTCCGTTCAGGTAACATTCCTCGGCCTGATGGGAACCAAGCAGACACCACGCTATATTTGGTTCGCCACACCAATCGTGCAGGCCTTTGTATTCACGGATTGGGGCTTGCGCCAGGTAGTTGCAGCTCCACGACTCGTCATGGCTCCCGGGGTCTTCCTATCAGTGATGCTCACCGGCCGCCTAATGCTCGACCTGCATTTGCGCACTATGTTCTGCCATCGCTTGGATTTCCAGTGGGCGCGCAAAGTGGTTCTTATTCCAACCACTACTCTGATTGAGTCATGTGCCGGGATGTTGCTGTTAGAATATCTCGGTATACCAGTCGCCTCCTTCATCAAGCCGATCGCTGTGGTCAGTCTCCATACGTTCGGTGTGTTAGTATTCCTCATACCAGCCTCATATGCCATTGCCTTTGATAAGATCGAGACTATTCGCAACTAAAGCTGGTTGTTGCTCTGTACATTTAATACCCGTGGGAGCGCACTATGGAGCTGGCCGCCCAACTTCCTAGGAACTGCGAGATCTCGCTGTCTCGTGCGTTTCAGGATTTCAGATCGTTGTAGGAGAAGGGCTCAATGGGATTTGAATATCTACCACGTCTCCAGACGAGCAGGTCAGACACCCATTCGTTTGGCCTTCTTGCAGGATCAACCTTCTAGAAACCCTTCTAATACAGAAGCTATTGCCCTGAAACGAACGAAGTGAGAGGAAGGGGAAACATCCCGCACGTGACAGGACTTTGAAACCTTATTTTTCGGGAATGTTCGTGAGACTGCCAAATACCAAATGCCATACAATACAAAATTTGACGCGAGATTGAACCAAAATCGCAATGAGTGTCTCGTCGGGCTTCAGTATTATTCGACGGAAACATCGAGCATTATTAGTAGAAGACACTCTCTATTATTGGAGAAGATTTATACCGAAATCGACTCTTGTTATCTGTTCTATGTCCGATTCGCTCTTTGCTATCAAATATATCATATCGGATTCGGCTGTTTCCTTCCAGAACTTTGTGTGGACTAAAATTCAAGTAGGTCCGAGATATTTGACCATTACTTCACTCTCTTGTTAATTTGTATTCCTATACTACTTTTATCCCGTACAGACGGGCCCTTGCTCTAATATTTTATCCATTAAGGTCTCTTAGTCTGCTACCTTCACGTGGCAATTCTCACTTATGGTGACGAGTCCATCTAATTTCTGCAAGAGTACTTGTTGGTCTCTTCGCGTCCTTGTGATATGTTTCTTTCTTTAATCCGTGGACACAATATGTTTGGCTTCATGACTGCCTTCTGCCATGAAGCTATTCTCGCCTCACCTTGTTAATAGTATCATGCCGATATGCGCCGCATCAACAAATGCCCTGAAACGAACAAAGTGAGAGGAAGGGGAAACGTCCCGCACGTGACAGAGCTTGGAAACCTTATCTGTCGTCAACATTCGCGAGACTGCCAAATGCCATACAAAAATTGAGGCGAAATTGGACCAAAATCGCGATGATTGGCTCGCCGTGCTTCCGTGTTATTGGACGAATGCTTTCAGTTCTATTAGACAAAGGCTTCTACCGGAAACGACTCTAGTTTCCCGTTCTCTGTCGAATCCGCACCTTTGTTAATGTTTTGTAGCTTTGGGGGTTTTTGCTGCTATTTTCGTTTCGGGGATAGCGTTTACGCTTCCCTGATCTAAACGAATCTTATCGGATTCGGCTGCGCTTTTCCGGAACTTTAAACATGCCAGGACCCATGCAGCTAGTGTCCCTCTCCTTATTAGGCTCGTATCCTTATGATGAGGAGCGATGTTTAAGTCCTTGGCCTAGTATTGTTGATATTATTAGACCTGGACAAAACCCGCGGGATTAATATATCAAGTCGCTCTCATTCTTTCGTTGAAGAGTCAACAAATACCATGAAACTCCGCCCTTGTAGTTCGTGCAAACGATTGCATCGAAGATGAGATGACCAGCGTCCATGTACACGTAGTAACAGTCTTCATATCTTATGTAAACCGTGAGTTGCTCCATTTCAGGAAACCTTCGGGGCAGTGCATGACAAGTATTAATTGATCCAGGTTGCCACAACACCAGTTTGCTTTCTCAAACACAGAAAAGCAGGTATCACTTGACACGAAAACCGATAACCCCAAACGCAAATGTCTGAAGACCATGAATACCTTTTCGAAACCCCTACAGAGTCGTCATCTCCCGACGCTGATGGGAAATTCGAGAATACTCAGCCAGAAGTGCCGACCCAAGACTCTATACTCGAGAACTGGGAGGACGACTCTCTGGGATACAACTCTGTCAATATTTAGATGCGGTGGATAGCAAAGTAGAGCGAGCACTGGGCGAGCAATCCCTTGCTAAGGACGTTAAAAAGCGGAAACGGTCGGAAACACCTCCCGAAAATATTAGGGCAGGTGATGAAGCAAGGTATGCCGAGCAAGAGGAAAGAGCAGCGAAGCGCGCGGATCATGACATGGACTACCAGGAGAAATCATCAACCAAGAGCATCTCAGACTAGAATACCATTTGTTCCGCTCTGCCGATGTGCTGGAAGGACAGGAGGCGAACCCAGGCAGCTCGCGCCCCAACAGATCACCAGTCGCCACAGCTAGGAAGCTTTGAGAATGTAATATGGTCTTAATTACCCAATGAAACTATTACAACAGTCTAAGCTGGGCGCACATGCGCAATTTTATGATCTAGGATTTAAATCTTCCTTTGTGCAGCTTCAATACCACACCTGAAGCTAACACGTACGCGCTCAACTTTGCACTCCGCCTTTACTCTTCTTCGAGTAGGGTATCTTGGCAATCTTTCACCCTTCAACAAACACCATTCGTCTACGCAGACGCCCTCTTCGTCGCCTTGGTTCGCAACTTCATCATCAAGAACACCAGGGCGTAGAACACTCCAGCCCACAATACAACCAGCCCCGCATTCCTCCAGCCGTAGTACTCTTCGTTCAAGTTGAGAGTCTTCAAGTAGCCTTGTCCAGTAGTGTATCGGCACACCTCGCAATTCTCCGTAGCGCCAGGGTTCAGAAGGTTCGTGCCACGTCCCATGCCTTGCTGATATGTGGAGAGATAGTCGCCACATGTCTCGTTCGCAGGAGGATTGAAGACCGCAAGCTCGCCCCGTTCGCAAGTGATATCGACGGAGAAGGTGGTGAAGGTGAGGAAGGCGCCGAAGAGGTAGTTGAATGGATCGAGGTAGTAGATCCTAAAATGTGATGTTAGCATTGATCTCGTGGGTGTTGATAGTCGTATGAGGCTTACCAGTATCTCCAGAACGCCGTGATCTGGGAGTAAGGAACGAAAACACCGCAGAATGATACGAGGGTGGTGATGACCAGCGGGTTGACGAGAGATGCAAAGGTTGCGTTGGGAGCGTACGCGGCGATCGATTGTCCAATACCGGTGTACAACATCTCGTAAAAGATCTAGATGGTTTGTTAGTTTGGAGTGAGAAGTCAACCAAAGAAGAGAAAACTTACTGCGACGAAGAATGTGCTGCCTGCCCACTTGGTATCGTTTGGCAATCCAGCAGTCCAGTACCAACACACAAAGTACAACACACCGCAGACGACGAGGTAGGGCAGCTCAGAAACGATCAAGCCAGTGACGAATGGCACCCAGTGGTAGGTCTTACTCTTCTTCTCGCGCGTCTCATACACGTTGCGACGATCGATGAAGATAGGCTGAAGCTGGGAGATGAGACCGGGGGCGACAAACAGGAAACTGAAGACCGTGAAGAGACGTTGCTGGAGATCGCTGACGCTGTTACCAATCGACCAGAACGAAAAGCCGTTGTAAAGAGACAGGAGTATATGCAAGATGAGCTTGTTGTTGATGTACTCGGTGTTGCGGAACAAGGAGATGTTCATGCGGTGCGTGACAAGCTTTACCTGCTCCCAGATGGGCGCTGCGAATTGATGGCCATCGTCGACAGTTCCAGGCGGTTTGGTGGCAGCATCGGCGACAAGAGTGTCAAGCTCTTGAGTGATCTTCTCATGTTCTGGCGAGTTGAGCCAGACTTGGTTCCAGTCCCTGCCCTTAGAAAGACTCCCTGATACGACTTCAATCATGTGCTCCGCAGGGTTGGCCTCTCGGGGGCACGGTGCGCCATGATCAGCGAAGTATTTCTTGACGGTCCTTGCATGATGGCCGATATCGCCAAAGTATACGGTCTTGCCACCCTTCGCCAGTAGGAGGAGGGTATCGAATTGGGCAAAGAGGTCGGCTGATGGCTGATGAATCGTGACGAGGACAGCTTGTCCGACTTCCGCGAGTTTGCGCAAGAAGCGTACCGTGTTGTTTGCAGCTTGGCCGTCGAGACCAGAAGTAGGTTCGTCGAGGAAGATCAAAATACTGGGCTTAGCTACGAGCTCAACACCAATTGTGAGACCTGATAAGTTGTTAGTGTCTGTCTCGACTCTGTTCGATGGATTCAGACTTACGCTTGCGCTGTTCGACAGAAAGACCGGCACCAGGGCGACCGATGAGGGTGTGCTCGAGATCTTCCAACTGTAGAAGCTTGACGATCGTGTCCACATAGCGGAGCTTCTTCTCGCGGGGAATTTCACGATTCTGACGAAGAAGAGCAGAGAATTCCAAAGCCTCGCGTACCGTGGACAATGACTCGTGGACATCCATCTGTTCGACGTAGCCAGCAGATCGTTGGAAGGACACAGGGAGCGGGCGACCATCGACTAGGATGGAGCCATGAATGGTACCATCAGTCTTGCGTTGAGCTAGAACGTCGAGCAGTGTAGTCTTTCCGGCCTGAGTGAAAATGTTAGCATATATCCAACTGTCAATCGCATTGCTAGTGCACTTACACCTGAAGATCCCATAAGAGCACCGAGCGTACCGGGCTTGACAAATCCTTGAACGTTGTCGAGAAGAAGACGATCGCCATTCGGCGTCTTGACGGTGTAAGTCAGATTCTTCCAGGTAAAAACCGATGTATTGTTGACGAGCTGGTTGTCGATGGTTGTGTCAGACTTCTCGGAATCGGAGCCGGAGTTCTCGGATGGCTTCTCGACAGCCTGGGATTCCTCATCCGCAATCACGGCCTTAGGTACCTTCTTCTGCTTCTCACGGGGGATGAGGAGGCCGCGACCACCTTCGCCCATCTGCTTCCACCTGGAAGTGAAGAAGACGGTCATTGCCACGAAGAAAACGTACCAGGCGCAGAGAATGCCAAAGTTGCGCCAAAGGTTGCTGTGGCTGAAGGACATGGAAGCCAGGTATTGGTCACCAGTAACGCTGGTTGCTCCAGGAGGCGCACCACGGACGCCAGTACATGCTTGTCCGCCTCCTGTTTCGGGGCTGTATCCTTCGCCATTTGGAACCAGGAATGGGCCCACACAAGGAATCACCTGGTCGTGGAACTCGTTCGCGAGCAATGCTTCGAACGCGTAGGCCATGGGGTCGATCCAGAAGAACCAAACGAACCAAGGGTGCATGTCGGGCTTGGGGATCATGTATCCTGCATATGTGAAGGCAGCGACGATGGTGAATCCAGAAGCTTTAGTTGCTGCGTCGAAATTCGGGAAAGCGGCACCGATGAACCTGAACAGCTGTGTCATAGCCAGGGCCGAGATCAAGTTGATAAGCCAAAAGATGAAGAAAGCCTGGGCGGTGTACTGGAATCCAGTCATGAAGTACAGCACAATTCCAAAGTGCGAGATTTGGAAGAGCATGATCGGGATGTCGGTAATGACCTGGGCGAAGACAAAGGCAGATGGATGGTGGAGAGCGAAGTCTCGGTGTTTGGCTAAGACGGGTCGGCCGACGAACGAATCCGTAACCTCAGCGAGAGCGATAAAGGTGGGATATAGTAGAGAGAAGAAGAGTGAGCCTCCCTTGATGAACAAGCCCGCCGTGTTGTCCGGAGCATTGTAGAACAGTGAGCCACCGATCAGCACCTGAACGATAGTTGTGGCTTGCTTGATGAACAGAGTTTGCTTGTCGCCCCAGAGGATCTGAAATTGGCGTATGGTAGCCGTCTGCACCTGATGGAAATATCCTGCAGACTCCGCAGCTTTCTTTGGGAGGTTCTTGTGCTTGTCTTGAGCCTCCTGTTCCTTGAAGTCCGCCGTATTCTGCTGAGCTTCGGGGCTATTGGGGTAGTCGAGCTCGGCCATCATCCTTGGCTTGATGGGCGAGTTGTTATAAGCAGCGAGCAGCTCCTCTGTTGATCGAGGAAATCGGTCCTCAAAGTCTGGGGCAATTGTGCGTACAGCAGGCGCCGATACGCTCGTGAGGAAATCTGACTTGTTGGCTGCAGGGCCGCATAGGAAGCCAAGATCCTCCATGTATGGCACAGCTTCATCTCGAGGTCCGTAAAAGATCTGCTTGCCGTTGTCGAGAATCAGAATCTTGTCGAACTGCTCGTAGATGCCATTACCAGCTTGATACAGACTGGCAATTGTAGTGAGACCAAGAATATCTGTCATGGCGCGCATGGCTTTCGTCCAATCTAGTGCAGTGCTCGCGTCGAGACCACGAGTGGAGTTATCCCAGGAGAAGACGCTGCCTCTAGTCGCAAGGCATTCGAGAATGGACACTCGCTTGCGCTCGCCACCCGAAACACCACGAATGAACTCATCTCCGACCTTGGTATCCTTTGTGTGTGTGATACCGAGAGACTTCAAGAGGAATTCTTTGTATATTTTGGCGTACTCCTCCTCGTTCTTGATGTCCGGTGGCAGGTGGAAGGGCACCTTCAAACGTGTGGCGAAGTCGATGGTGTCACCAACTGAAAGAGCTGGAAAGAAGATCTCCTCTTCTGTGTTCATGATGATCTGACCACGATATTGTTTGGCTTCTTGACTGGTCATGGAACCGAACGAGACGTCGCCAGTAATTTCTGCGAAGCCATTTCTGTGGTTTGATAGAACGCTAAGCAGTGTTGTGCATCCGGCTCCTGGATTTCCAAGAATAAGCAACATCTCACCGGGCTTGACACATCCAGAAGAGTTGTCGATAATAGTCTTCACTGGTGGGCTTTTACTGCCCTTCCCGAATGGGTTGAATTGAGAGAGAACATTTTCGTTGCAAAGCGCATCAATGCTGATGCCCTTTACTGTGAGGTTCTGCCATGTCACACCCAGCTTCTTCGATTTCCCACCGTAATTCTCGTTACGTTGTCGTATTTGTAGTATATCTGGAGTGATGGGCCATTGTGAGATGTCTCGGGAGTCGGTCTTTGGGCTGGATTCGTCGTCTGACTGCTCCGCGCTGGAGTTGACGATAGGGTCCGCTATTGGGGAGGGAGATCGTCCGGAGGGCTTTCCGAGCGAACTCGCCCGGTACATAGCTTTCTCGGGGTCGCGATTGACCTCCATGTTGTAGTTCTTCGGATTCGCTAATTTGCCAGACTTTGACAGCAGAAGAACTTCGATGGAAAAAAATGCTGGAGATCAGATGACTGGAGTTGCCGGTGAGAGAGTAGCAACATCACGCAGAAGATATAAGAACAATAAAGTAATGAGATATATGACCATAACTTAGCTTCTGATTAATAATCTGACTCAAGGCCCGGAACCCAAAGAAGCCCTCTGTCTCATCCCTTATTAATGTGCTGAACGAAAAGCATGGGACATCTTTTCGACGGATGGAGTGATTGGTGAAAATCTCGTGTATGAAGGTTTTCCTAACAGTGACGGATAGGGTTTTTAGTGAACATCTCGTGCATTAAGATTTTCCTAACAGTCAGTTCAAACGTCTTTGTTGAATCATCAGGCATATCCGCTCGGATTGATTACTATACATTCCTAGCTCTAGTTAAGTTAACTAACTCACTAACTCATTACGGAGTAGATACGATGACTAGCGGGGCTTGATTGCTTGAGCCCCCTGCCCTATTTGGGCGGGTCTAACCTTATAAACTCTAGCCCCGTAGATGGACAGTTAGACCGACTAATCAATTACATTCATTGCGAGCTACGATGATCGAACGACTAGAATCAATTCAGTGCGTCAATGAAGACCGACTGAACTCACTTGTCCCCAATGGTCATACTCATCTTTCTCCCATAGGAATTTCTTTCCTGATCCCAAGTTGTTATTAACTAACCTATCCGCTTGATTATTAATTTGCTACCGCCACTAACTACTACTCCCTTCTGATGAGACACATTAGACCTTTGCGTCGAAATGTTTATTCATATTTCCGGGTGGCGCAGCATTAACGTAACTCACAAGCGAGCTGCGCAGCCCCACTAAACGCGACCGCATTTTAACAACCCACCAAGTTCAACACCCTACCATGCCACCAGTAGTTCGTTCCTAAAAACGTCAAAAAGGAGATGAACAAGAAGGTAGGATATTAATAGCCTTACAGGCTATTCAAAATGACGAAATTCCATCTATACGTGAAGCAGCGCGTCGGTTTAATATACCCGAGTCGACACTACGGTCGCGTCGAAAGGGCATTCAATTTCGCCACGATATACGCCCCAACAGCCATAAATTAAGCGAATTGGAAGAGGAATCGCTTGTTAAATGGATACTCTCAATGGACGAACGTGGTATGGCCCCTGAGTATACTATGGTGCGACAAATGGCCAATATACTACTTGCGAAACGTGAAACGAATACACCACCAGTATTGGTCGGCATGAACTGGGTCTATAACTTCATACGCCGCCAGAGTACTCTGAAAACACGTTTTTCACGTCGATATGCCTATCAGCGTGCAAAATGTGAAAATCCTAAGCTTGTGAGGCAGTGGTTCGATTACTATAATCTTACTATTGCAGAGTATGGTATTCACGACGATGATATTTGGAATTTTGATGAGACTGGCTTCTCAATGGGGCTCACAAGCACTTCAGAAGTTATTACTAGAACGGAGTAATATTCAAAACGAAAACTCCTAATGCCTGGCAACCGAGAGTGGGTAACCGCTATTGAATGCATCAATCGATTCGATGTTCTTCCTCCGACTATCATCTTCAAAGCCAAGAACTTGAACTTAGGTTGGGCTACTACTGTTCCTGGGGATTGGCGCTTTGAAGCTAGTGATAATGGCTGGTCTACTGATCAAATTGGGCTATCTTGGCTTCAAAAGCACTTTATTCCGGCTTCAAATAAAAGGCTACATGGTATATGGCGGATGCTTGTGATGGATGGCCATAGAAGTCATTTAATACCACAATTTGATGATTTTTGCAAGCAAAACAAAATCATTCCTGTCTGTATGCCTCCGAATTCATCTCATCTATTACAGCCACTTGATGTTGGTTGTTTTGCTGTTTTGAAGAAGAAGGCATATGGCAACCAAGTTCAAGACAAAATGCGAAATGGCGTCAACCATATTGATAAACATGACTTTCTTGCTTCATATCCTATGGCACGCGCAGAGGCCTATAAAACAACGACAATTGCCAATAGCTTTGCTGGAGCAGGGCTTATACCTTTTTGCCCACAACGAGTGCTTGATACAATGGATATCCGACTATATACACCTACTCCGCCACCATCTCAGGGTAGTACTAGTAGTCGTGAGTATGTCCCTAAAAATCCAGCACGGGCAGCCGATATACGCCGACAAACAACCTCAATTAAACGTTTACTACGCTAGCGTTCTTATTCGCCACCCGAAGAGCTTTTAATGTTGTTAGACCAACTCGCGAAAGGGGCAGAACAAACCTTTCATTTAAGCCTATTCATTAAGGCTGAATGTGAGCGTTTACGTGTTGAAAACACTCATCAGGCTAGAAAACGTCGAATACGTAATAGGTTAGTAGCCAACGAAGGGGGGATTACTGCCGAAGAGGCCCAGGTTCGCCTACAAATAGAGATAGAAAGCAATATGGCAGTAGATGCAGCACCTCTGCAGGCAGCTGAATCGACCAATGAGAGGCCACGGCAGCGCTGTGGGAGCTGTAGAGAGGTAGGGCGCAAGCGGAATAGGTGCCCTAACATTGTTTTAAATAGTAGTAATTATACTATTTTTGGTTGTTGAGATATATGGCTTTTTATACTATAATTGGTGGTGGGTGCGCAGCTCGCTTGTGTGCGCAGCTCGCTTGTGAGTTACGTTAAATAAAGTTGATGTCATTAGTCAAAACAATATCTTTTTGGTCCCCGGCTGCGTCGCTACTAATCATAACGTCCTGATTTTTCATAGTAGATTTGAGCGAGTGTGGGTTGTAGTCGGCCCGAATGACAATTAAGCCTTCAGAAAAAAATGTCGGGGAGAGAATAGTGACTAGAAATAGAGAGCGGCGTAATTATTAGAGGACGGCGGGCCCGAGAATTCCGCCTAGGCCAATCCCATACCATTGTAATAGAAAACTCCACTTTTCTCGACAGATCTCTCTTAACTATTTCCGATTACTCAACAATTCCGTATCGTCACTCTCAAAGCTTCTCAGGTCACAAGGTCTGAGGAGTTTCGGGATAATGAATAAACTAGATTGAGATATCCGTCTTCATGAGCCGCTTGGGGCTTTTATCTACTTCTATCTACGAACCCTAGATCCACTTTCTCTCATGAGCCACAACCCAGCACAAATTCATTAAATGATGGCGGAAAAACACAAGGCAGAAGCGGTCCAGGGGAAGGGGCGTCCTGGGGAATCCAAAAGCCGACAAGCACTAGAGGTGGGTGACATGTAAAGAAAAAAATGTATTCGATGACTGATTCCTATTAGAGGCGTCGCGAACAGCTACGCATAGCGCAAAAAGCGTATCGCACGCGAAAAGAGAACACCATTGGCAACCTCCAGGATCGTGTCCACGAGCTTGAGGGTGGCATTGAACAGCTCAGCCTATCCTTTCTGACCTTCAGTAATCTGCTTCTGGAAACCGGTCTGCTTGAAAGGAATTCACTTGTCACGTCAGCCCTTCGCAAGATAACTCAACAGACCCTTTTGCTTGCTGAAACTGGATGTGCGGACCCGGATAATGGCGCTCTCGTCAAGGTTGTTGGTGCCACTTCATCCACTGCAGTTGACAATGATGAAAAATGCAGTGATAGTAGCCCAAGGGTTTCGTCAAAGGAACAAGTTCCTACCGGACTCTCATCAACCCCGACGCAATGGGATGATTTGCCACCATTATACACACAATCATCCATTTACCAAGACCAACCGAAGCCCCCTATCAGCGTTGCCATGGCTCCGCTCGCTGATGAGTCGCATAGTCCGTTCTCATCACTACCAGGCCACTACCCAGCCGTTGCTCTCGCTACCTCTACCAAGGATGAGCAGTGGACCTTCTCACGGTATCTAGTAAAAGTGTGTTGTCAAAATGGGTATCAGCTCCTCGTCAACACTCCGAACGACTTTACGAAGATTCAAGAAGTTTTCGGGCCATCTATGCCTCCAACTAAGCGCAATAATCTCCTTTCTTGTATCCATGCTGGAATACATGACAAGACTGGAGGCCTCATTGATCTCATGGCAACGGTACTCGCCCCCTTGTATTCCAAGAGAGATGGTAACGCCTCGGAAGAGTTGCCAGCCCTGGCTGAAGAATTGGGAGACAGCGAATGGCTAGATGCGAGTGGTGTACAGAGACTTCTCAACGAGAGGGGACTTTACACCCGGCAGAGTGGTCGCCCATTGTTTCGCTCAAGCCTTATCTCCTCACCTCAGGTTGCGGCACTTGTTCAGTGTGAGTATGTGGCGAGGTATACATTGGCTTCAAACACTAATGAATATAGACCTTGCTACTGAGTGCGTTTGCTTCGGAATTGGCCCGGCATTTCGACGCCAAACTGTTGCGGCTGCATTAAACCTTTCAGGGATGCCATGAAGTTCCTTATGCCCGCTGTGTGGCTTCAGAAATAGTTTGTCCTTGAGTCGGCGGGCTGTAAATACCGTCTATGTTATTGAGTATGAGCCCATTGTGGGGGTATCGTTTGGCTGGTCAGATTCGAGAGTACCAGTCAAGTTTTATCAAGCGTAAAAAACCGTCAGGCCTCTTGAATTAGTAAACATTCTCGATGACCAAGTGGGGAGGGGTATTCTGGTCAAAATGACTTGAAGATTCAATAGTAACTGTTTTCCAAATATGCCTGTGAGGGTAATTTGTCGCATGCAGCATCACTTGTCACTGAGCTAGCTCAAAATTATCCATTTTTAGGCTTTCAATGATCTTGGCTGTTCGAATATCTACCTGGCTTTTACGTTTATCATCGGCAAAAAGTTAGCCATCCTATGAAAAGGCTCTCTGACTGGCAAGTGCCCAGACACTCAACCCAAGAAGATGAGACTAGATGACCACAGATGATACTACATTAATAGATTTTTGGCTCCCCCGCACCTTTTTCCCCCTTCAGAGTTTTGTCACTTTCTCAAGAGTAGAATCGGGCTTCTTAATTTCAAAGCCGATCATCCTTTTGACGACGCTGTCCAGCATGTTGCTCCACCCAACAAGATTCAAAAACCAAATCACCCAAGCATTGATCCCTTTCCACAGGAACTCTCTCTTTTCAACCTTAGCCAGGATAGCTTGAACAAGTTGCTTGGCAAACGCTTCTGGCTTCATGCTGTTATTGGCATAATTCCGACTTCGTTCCTTGGCTCCCTCCAAAGCAGCGGTGAAGATACTCTTGAGGTCAAAAGAGATACTGTTAGGCGACATGAGGTTTGTTGAAATTTCTGTCATAATGAGCGTCATAATGAGCGCAACAACTTTGTTATCGAGTGGGCCAAGTTCATTTCGGAGTGTCATTGTGAAAAGCCACGGCTGCTTTCGAGGCGTTGTATACGGACGAAGAGGCAAACGGCAAGCGTGCAAGGACTGAGAGGGGATTTATGATGACTGGCGGCGTGGTTAGGATTGTAGTGGAGGCTAGCAAAAGAGGAATAAACGTCGGGAGGCCAAATACGTTGCTATCCAACATTTCAATTTCCACGTATACAGGCCGAATCGGCTTCGATTGCCGCACCCCATCAAAATTTATCTAAATTCTGGCCGCGAATTATGCGACGACCAGGAAGCTTTGCATACTCCAAAGCAAATGAGAGATATAAAAGATCGTCTGATATAATTGGCAGAACTTTAGAGTGATCGGAGCTGATTAGACCTCCGCACCCTAGCGAAGAAATTAACCTGAACCCAAGCGGGGCCCACTTTGTTACACCCATAGTAAAGCAAAAACCTTGACCTACACTCCAGTAGAGTGCAAGCACCCCGGTGGGATAGGGCCAAGTGCTGCACCAGACAAATCCTATCGTCACAAACAATTGGAGAACTTCAAGCAAGATACGATCGAAGCCAATTAAATTGCGATTGTATCCAGACGGTGAGTTGGGGATGGGGCATTCCATCAGTAAGCCTCGGCGCTTTGTTGAAAGATCATGAAAAGAGAGCTGAGCCTGTGATGTTGTTTACTATTTCCAATGTCCAAAAGTTTAGAGGGAATGTTGCACAATGCGTCTAGGCCGCAATATGAAGCACGATGTGGTTTCAAGTTTGACTTGGGGCCCTCGGCAACTGGTTGAGCTTCGGACTTCGAGCTTAGTCGGTTAGGTCATTGGGGTGAGCTTTCAATTTCAATTAAGTGCTGCCGCAGAGGTGCTTGACGAGAGTCTACAATGTCGCGGCCATTCCCAGCCGCACCGGCGAACAAGCTGTGCTGACTGAGGCGATCGCCGACACCGCAGGCCCTTCGTCGCTTGGCTCAGCCCATGACTGCGGCTCTAGTTGAACTAGAGCGCTTCAGAGAGCTTCTGAAAAACCTGCCTCCCTGGACTGGTGTCGTGGTCTTTACAGCATCGAGTGTCTTGCCGCTAGGCGCAGGGATAGGGTCCCCGTAGCTAAAGTTCTGCGACAAACCCTCCCGAGAGGTAACCCAGATCCCAGTTATAATAATTAATGTGCGTAGCCCATCATCAACTGGAACTGCGTTATTGGTATTCACCGGTGCTTCATTATCGGACAAGTTAGTGACCACAGACATGCCTGAGCTTGGGGTTATGGGAGCGGTACGAGCAAGCCACTAAGGAACATTCATCATACACCTCCAGCTGGTTCTTGGTCATGGAAGCGATCACCGGGTGCCGACGAGTGTTGGAATCGATGATGCTGAACGTGAATCGCTTGGTGTCATCGCGCGGTTGAGTTCGTGTCGTTGCAGATGCGGGACGAGTTTTCCCTCTGCACAAGGCCCATCGCATGACCCGCAGACCATTTTCTGTGCGGGCCACGAACTCATATGAGCCACTTGGCAGAGGAGTCGCTTCTCACTTTGGCCCAAAATTCAACGAGATCTCTGTCTTCCCTTTCAGACGACCATCCTCATGGAACACCTGGCAAATCGTAGCCACGGCTTCTCGTTGATTCTCGTCGCCTTCTTCGGAGCTTATATTATTTCCGGGGAAGCTGGCCCCCATGTGCGTGTGTATTTTGCTCACCAAAATGAATAAGTCGCTCGGTTCCAGTTTGTTCTTCTGGCAGAATATGGCCGGAAACTTTCGACCAAACCGAGGCAAAGATAATGTAGATTTTTGAACATCTAAAAGGGGCAAAGGCCGGGGAGTTTGCGACACCTGCTGCACTTGCAGTAGGAGCCTCGGCTGAAGCTTGCATCGCTTGTGACGAGAATGAGCAGCAGGGTAAGCGAACTGGTACAAAACCTTGGACCGCGAGGTTTTGTTGTTGGTATATGGAGGGTAGACCCGAGGCCGGGCGAATGCTAATGGCGCGGTCTTGGGGGATTCGCCCTTGCTCGGCGTCGATGTAAGGGCGGCGCATGCAGTTACTGCGGGTGGAGAAGGGCTACTGGACTGCTTCGTCCGGTTATAGAAGGTGCCAGCACAGAGAAGCGTTGATAGCGAGAAACCGGACGAGTAAATAGGGTTAATAGATAGCGGGGATTCCGACTGGGCGCCGGGTTCGTTTGCATGGGTTACCACGGCATCCGCTGTGAGGCCAAGATTCAGTAGCATTCTTGAACTCTAGCGGATATGCGTGGAAGGAAGGAGCAAAGAGTGACTCTCTATAGTCCGATTCAAATGCAGTACACAGATCCGTCCCGGTGGAAAAGGGAGGGTCAGCTTTATATGTACAGTACCCAAAGAATAATATAAGAAACTTAAGGTACATAATAACTTAGTCAATTAATTACGTCCCTTCAAGTTCCGCGTCCTCTTGTCATGAATAAATTACTGCTTTTTGAATAATGATGAATAAACCACAACTCAGTCTGATGAATAATAATATATGTCTTTGACATTTATGTCGACTAATATGGGATATTTGTCTTCCCGGACTTACTCTACAAAACCCTTCCCTATTGCAATTACTCTTACTACGGGCCCAGGAATATACGGCTGTTTGGGTAATATGCTTTATCTTATTTACTTTACTAGTCTTGTGTCTGTTCATCAGACTTGCATACAGTAGTACTGTAGTCGAAATCAGATTTACCACTACACTCTTCGACTTGAACTTCCAAACTCTAATGTGAAACACGCTAATCAGAATAGGGCTTAGGCGTCGATCCTCTAGTTTCTAGAATAGATTTTGTAATTTTCATGACGGATTCATACAATACCAGCGGTACTATATATGAAATTGTTGTACATACGCAAATACTTTGCCTGATTTCTCACTAAACCGATTTTTCCTTTCGCCATGACTTTTTAGTGCCGTATACGAGACTCATGATATGGCTCCGAGGCTCCCTCCCTCAAAGTTGTAGCTTATCCGTGATATGATCGAGAGTCGGTCATTTACCATATCTTAAATGGCCGAAGAGGCCGAGTGTAGTAAAGTCATGATTATATATAAATATTCGTAAAAACTTGAGGCTATTTCGAAACGTCTACGTATGCCTAACCCGAATAGGCTAGAGACCGATAGTTACCCTACTAATGGTCGAAGCGCTTTGCGATCACTTATCTACGAAACCAGGTCTGTACCTTGATGAGATGGTCGTTTTCCTATGGGACGAGTTTCATACTATGATTACGACCTTAAGTATTAGAAGAGCCCTGAAAGCTAAAGGTTGGTCTAAAAAGACGATCTGGTAGCATGCTAAAGAGCGAAATGTCGATTTACGAGAATTATATCTACATAATTTATTAAAGTATTAATTATATTATCTAGTTTATATCGATGAGTCTGGATGTGATAAGAGAGCTAGGTTTAGATAGATAGGCTAGTCACCTCTTGGCATAGCGCTATTGTAAGTATTATAGTTTCATCGTGACTAACGATACTAGATACTACTAGCGTATACCTAGGACGGTATTCTACTTTCCTATGTCTTCCGCGGTGTAATAGATACTATTATATTCGAAAATTTCTTAGCTTAGCTACTTTAGCACTGCGGAAGATAGCTAGAGACCCTAAGTCTATTTTAGTTATAGAAAATGCTTCCTTCTATCGCTTAAGATAGGTCTCGTAGATATGTGAGGACGCTAGAGTGAAACTAGTCTATCTACTACCTTATTCTCTAGACTTGAATCCGATCAAGGAATTTTTTGCTGAGCTAAAAGCCTTTATTAAGCGTAATTAGGCTTACTTTAAAGTGGATCCTGATTAAGGTTTTAATATCTTTCTTTTATGGTGTATTGACACCGTTGGTGTAAAGGAAGAAAGTGCGAAAGGCCACTTCTAATATGTAGGCTTAAATATTAAAGAATTCGTAGAGTTATAGGTATGGCCTTAGTTAAGGAGCATTTTAATATAGCTCGAAATTTTGTAAAAAATAAGATTCGTAATCTATTTACTCTTGAAACTATAGGTTATTAAAGAATTTATCGCGCTAACGCTCTTATAGATGGCTTAAAATATAATAGCTTCCCGATGTTTACTCCTAGCCTTAAGATATTCTTTCGTTAAATCGGGGTTATATAGGCCGCTAAGTATACTTTATCTAGCTATTTCTATAAGTTTAGCCTAGTATCTTTGTGGCTTGGACCCTTGTTTATTATATCTAAAGTCTCTTGCCATCTTCTAGGTAGATTATCGCTTTCTATCTTGTATATCTAGCTAATAAGTATCTGAGATGTTAGTAATAGGTTCTTTAGCGATACCTACGAATTTCTTCTTAAGCTCTTTAACCTACTAAGGCTTATAGCCGCGACCGAAGATTATTGCGCGAGGAGGCTAGCTATAATTATGGGTTCTGATCTTATTAGGGTTCTGAGACTGAGGATCGCGACCTGTAAGTAGATGCGGGAGCTTAGCCTCTATAGCCTTATATGATAGGATGAAGTGGATGACTAAGGAGTATTAGCACTATGCTTTATTTATTTTAGGAATGTAGACTAAGAACCTTTATATTTAGGTAGTAGGTGCTGGGAGATTGATTTCCCTATTGCGGGTATTCTGCCGTAGGTAACTACTGGTATCGATTAAGTGAATGAAGATATGTTGCGATAGCTATACGCTGTACTCTATACGCTGCGGTTGAATATATTTTGGAGTATTGGAGATAGAGAATAATGGAGTAAGCTGAGGTTGAGGATTCGATTTATATTCCTCGTTATGGCGCCTTGGTCTTGTTAAGTCGATGACGTTTAGATAGAGTATAAGAGCCCGTTATGTTTAACTCTAGCTAATCGTGACGACCTACTTTTTCGATTATTTAATAGTCCTGATACCTTGACTTGATAAGTTAAGTAATCCCGTTATGTCCTTCTCGCGTTCTTAGATTATCTCTTATATTACTGTATGTCTTTAAGATAAAGAAAAAGCCTTAAAAGAAATACACGATGGTTGGAGGAATGACTAACGCGCCCGCTCCTTATAAGAGAGGCTGGCCATGAGCTAGGATGGATAATTAGTAAGGCCCTGAGGTAGGTATATCCCGAAATAACTATAGTGTAAGTTAGAACTAACTTAAGGAATCTAGAGACGTTGAAAGTAGCTTCGCGTCGCGTAGTGATTATATTGTAAGAGAAAAGATACCACGATCGTTAATTTATAATCTTATATATAGAAATTCGAGTTAGGCATTAAAGAGGTTAGTGAGTTATTCCTTTCTTTTAGTGATCTTCTATTAGAGGCTAGGATTCTCTAAAATCAGCCTTATGTTATAGCTACTTTATAAAAAATTATATAGTAATATATATCGCTTGCTAAAAGTGGCTACGACGAGGCTAAATAGGTATCTATAGCCCTAGTGGACGTATCGCGATTAACGTCTCCTACGCTTAGTAATATATAAGATATAATCTCTAATTATAATTCGCTTATAATGTAACTTGATTTATGGCTAATAATTGGTGACGCTTTCTAGCCCTTATTAGACCTTATGGCTTAATAGGCTAGACTATTATAACTACCCCTTATACTATACTTCTAAGAATAAGTAATTCTATCGTTTAGAATAGGCCTATTATCTTTAAATATCTCTTTCTTACCTATCTATAGTCCTACCTTAAATTTTCTGACTATAGTATCGCCCGATAGCCTCTTAAAGTAAGGGCGCTAGGAGCTCTTATACTAGCTAGTCTAATAATGCTACGAGATTAGTTACTATCTATTAATAAGATCATCTATAGACGATCTAAGAGTTATAGTAATCTTTAGTAAACGATTAACTATTAATAAGCGCGACCGCTTTATCTTTAGATTCTTCGCTAATATGCACGACGAAATAGGAGATATAGTTAAGTTAAGTATAAAAGTTCTTAGTTTAAGGAGGAATAGCTACTCTCCTAAATAACTTATAGTTTCCTTACGAGTGTGGTAAATTATTAATGAATTAGGTACTAATGAGTGGATAGATATAAGTGGTGTGTAAAGGCTACTTGTTACGCGGTGCTAACTGGTCATAGTGAGTATCGCTCGTATGGTTCCTTATACGTACCGAGAGGCTCGTCCTTAAGTCTCACACGTAATCGTACTGTTGCCGTTGGGCCTTACACGGGCTCGGATCTATAGAGTAGACTCTTGTTGGGTAGTGCTAGATAGTAGCGCCTAGTTAAGCTATGCTTAGGATCTGTGTCAAGTGATAAGAGACTAAGTATACCTCTCCTAGTAGGGTGGGTTGTCTTAAATACGAAATAAGTTGTGAAGCTAGGGTTGTAGGTCCTAAGTAATAATGTGTAATTGAACGCGAAGAACTAAATATATCTGTGGTAATGACCGTTCCTTATATATCTAATCCATCGTATCGCTGATAAGTCCGGGACTTATCACTGATCTGTTCTGGTCTTATCGCTGATGAGCTGCACTTATCGCCCGATGAGTCGGCACGTGATCCTTCCCTAGGATCCTTGTCTTCTTGGGATACTGAGCTTCTTAGGATCCTTTGTATCGTAGGATACTTCATGGTTATTAGTAACTATGGCCTGTTGTAGGGTGTTGTCGATCCTGGGATACTCTGTATCCTAGGAATCTCCCTTTTGGTTCTAACCTGTGGCTTATCGTGGGATATCTCTGATTGTAGGGTAGAGCCCGTTGTAGGATCTTCCCTATTGGCGATAACTATGGCCTGTTGTAGGATACTCCTTATCCTGCGATCGTGCTTATCGTGCGATCATTCTTTTCCTAGGATAGTACTAAATCGTAGTGTCCTTTAGTTATTATGTATTGTGTATCCTATTGTGAAGAGGCTATAGTTCTCCGAACCATGCCTTATACGTGATCTATACGTCGTCCCGTTCATCTAGGATGATTGGGTATAAGTGCCCCGCGGGTGGTGCGGCCCCTTGTAGGTCCGTAATATTACCCCCTCCTTTCCTAGGTCTTTATCCCTAAAGACTCCTGTGTCTTATAACCGCCTACTCCCCTCTCTTGGTAAGTGTTGGTTCTTATTTCCTTTCCTACCCTTTAGCTATGACTCTGTCGTTATGCCTTTATCTAAGTCTTCTATCTAGAAGAATTAACTAAGTGATCGTATTTCCGTAGAAGGTTATTAATCCGTTATTCCCTGTGATTGTTATGTTCGCCTTAAAAGAGTGTGTGTTCGTTCTGACTTCTTGGATTGTTATGGTTCTTGTGTGAAGGGTGGTGGTGGTGTAAAGTGTACTATGTCTCGTCCTTTATATTCTGATGCTGAGTGGCGTCGCCTCCTTAGCGCTCGTTCTTTATTGGCTGATGAGAAGTGTGTAGCTTTATCTAAACTACTCTGTCTTAAGGCCTAAGAGTAACTATTGCTGAAGCGTTTGGGTGATTTCATTGCTAGGGATTTTAAGGAAATCGCTGAATTAGAAGAGCTTGAATGTCGCGAAAAGGAAGAATTAGATCGTCTTGAAAAAGAGCGTGTTAAGGCTGATTGTGTAAAAGACTGTGGAAAGAAGGCTGCTCTGACCGCTGATGAGTATTCTGGCCTTTCTTTTATCGAGGACACGTATATCCTTGTGGCCACGTTAGAGGACTCTAGTTAGACGTAGACGACTATGTCTAACCCCTTACTTTTGGTGGACTGGTTAAGCGTTGATTTCGACGCTTTCTTAGCTGCCGTCCCCTAGGGGTCTTTTTCGCCCTATTATAATACTGTTAAACTAGCTAGTGGCAGCCCCTTAGGTTCTTGATGGGTTCCTACGTATTTTCTGAGGTAGGGTACCCCTACTATTTAACTAAAAGCTGTTACTAACTGTTATGCCATCTATCCGCTAGGATTTCTTCTACTTTGTATTCTTCTTCGCTGGCGTCTTTGATTTCTATATTAGTAGTGGTTTCTATATTATCTAGCGCTTTCTCTAATAATGATATATGAAATACTAGGTGAATTCTGTCTATGCTTTGCGGTAGCTTTAGCTTATAGTTTACTAGTCTAGTTTTTTCTTTAATTGTAAATGGTCCTAGTCGTTTATGGTCTAGCTTATCGCTGGGTCGTTTTGTTTTTATGTTCTAATAGAGGAGGTACACTTTCTCCCCCCTTTGTAGTTCTAGGCCCTCTTGGTGAGTCTTGTTATAGTATTTTTTTATGTGTAGGTTAAAGAACTTAATATCCCGTGATATTTAGAGGTGTAACTGCTTAATTCCTATGGCTAGGATTTATGATGTTTCTGCCACTGCGTGGTTATTAATTAGCTCTTCGATAATCGTGGGATTAAACCTATAATTAGCGAAGAATGGTGATTCCTTAGTTATCGCATGCATCGCGTTATTATACGCGAATTACGCGATTAGTAGTAATTCTAACTAGTTATCCTGCTAGTAATTAATATAGTGTCGTAGATATTGCTCTATAGTCTGATTTGTTCGCTCTGTTTACCCATTGGTTTATGGATGGTAAGTGGTAGAGAGTCTATGCTTAATGCTGATTTGGTCCGTGAATGAACGCTATATATTGGAAGTGAATAACTTATCTTAATTAGACGTGATCTTTCTAGGTAATCTGTGATTGGCGAAGATATTTCTTACTAAGATCGCGGCTATCTATTTTACGTTGATCTTTTCTATGGTTGGGATTATGTATGTGTACTTGGTTAGCTTATCTACGATAACTATAATTATATCGTTTCCTTTTGATTCTAGTAGTTTCGTGATAAAGTCTATTGTGATCTATTCCTATGGTTTCTTGGGTACTTCTAAGTTTTGTATTTCCCTATATGGTAGATGTCTTGTTAGTTTATCTTATAGATATGTGTTATATTTGCTAATATATCTTCGCACCTTCTTATATATATTTGGGATATAGAAGTGGTGAGTGATTAGTTCTACTGTCTTCTCGATTCTTAAGTATCCTCTAGTAGGTTTATCGTGATGTTTCTAGATAATCTCTTCCTGTATTGGTCTAGGAACGTAGATTAATCTATGTATTAGTAGTATTCCGTTGTCTAGGGTTACTTAGCGATTTTTATGGTTAAGTATCTAATCTAAAGCTTCGTCTTTAGTAGTTACTTCCTTAATTCGTTGTAGCTAAGTGTCGTCCTATAATTCGCTGGTCGTGGTAAGGGTTTAGTGATTATATACTAGGTTCCCTTTCTTGTCTTTAGTTAATATAGCTGGTACCGCTTCTTTGACTCTGATCTAGTAATCTGGTCTTCTACTGAGTGCGTCTGCTTAGCTATTACTAGTACTACTATAGTGTTCGATTCTATAGTCGAATTATAATAGTGTTTTAGCCTAGCGTACTTGTCTTCTCGTGAGTTCCTTTGTTGTGGTGAAGTAAGTTAGGTTCTTGTGGTCTAATTTAACTAAGACCTAATGCTTTACTCCCTTAAGGTATGGTCTCTATATTTTAAATGCTGATACTATAGCTAGTAATTCTTTATCGTGGATATTATAGTTAAGTTCTATTGGTGTTATTTTGCGTGACTAAAAGGTGATTGCCCTAGGTGCCTTGACCCTATTAATAGTTATTATCTATGTTAATTGTGCTCTAAGCGCGAAGTCGGATATATTAGCTTCTACTATAGATAGTAACTCTACGTTAAACGTATAAAAGATTAGTCTTACCTAGAAGAGGTTCTTAAGTCCTTGAAACGAGTCTTCCGCTACTTGGTTCTATTCCTACTTCCTTTCTTTCCTGGTGAGAGCGTCGAGTCCTATAGCTATTTCTCCGAAACTGTCTATGCTTTTTCGGTAATAGTTATATAGTCCTCTAAATTATTAAATATCCTTTACGTTCTTTAGTTAAGGCTATTCTAGGATGCTCCTGATCTTTTCTTCTTCTATGCTAAATTAATTGTTACTAATGATATATCCTAGGAATCCGGTTTATTATATATAAAACTCGTACTTCTTAAGTTTTAAGGTTACCTTAGCTTCCCTTAGTCTTAGGAGTACTTTTTTTACATATTTCTAGTGTTCCTTAATGGTCTTAGAGTATACTAAGATATTATCTAGGTAGGCTACGATAAAGATGTCTAGGTAGCCTACTAGTATACTAAAGATAAATCGTTAGAATGATGCTGGTGCGTTAGTGAGCCTAAATGGCATTACTATATATTTAAAGTGTCTAAATTTTGTTTAGAATGCTATCTTCTACTTATCCCCTTCTTTAATTCGTAGGCGATTATAGGTATCTATGATATCGAACTTCGAAAAGTACTTAGCGCCTTGGATCTAATCTTAGATCTCTTAGATTAGGGGTAGTAGGTATCAGTCCTTCTTCGTAATCCTATTTAATTATTAGTAGTTAATATATAGTTATAGACTTTTATCCTTCTTTAGTATAAATAGAATAGGATATCTTACTAACGATATGGAGTATTGGATGTATTTCTTTTTAAGATTAGTCTTAATATACTCCTTTAGGGTCTAGGATTCTTTTTCTAATAATTAGTAGATCGGTATGTGGGTTAGTTCTTTACCCTCTATGATTTTGATCTTATGGTTATGTGGTCCATGCTCTAGTAGCTGACTAATAGGTGGTGGTGTAAATATATCCTAAAACTCCTTATATTCCTTAGGGAGTTCTGGTGCTCCTTCCTTTATTGTATATAGAGCTACCTTATCTTTGTGGATTATGACGTATTCCTTAAGTTCGTTATCTATTATCTCTAGTCGCTATTCTCGTGACTTAATAATGCTTATGTCTATGATGCGTTAGCCTATTACCGGCGTTAGAGGTAGGTTTACCCTTTATGGTGCCTCCTTAGGCTCTCTTGCTCCTGTACTAAGGACCTTTTTAATTATTTCTCGCGATGCGCCCGACTATGTTTAGCTTGTTCTTCTATAACCGTAACTTATAAAGTAAATGGCTCTAGTGTTTTATTAGATTATTAGTTTATGTTTTTTTAGCTATGGCATTCCTAGTACTATATTATAGTTTCCTAGTGGGGTTATGTTAAAATAAATGGTTTTGAAGTAGGTTCCTATAATTATGGTTTAGGGTTCCGTTTTATAGGAAATGCCTAGGCCTAGACTTTCTCTATTTAGTCTAACGATAGGTCTGGATTGGTTCCTTTTCTATACTAGTATTTTGATTTATTGTATATATTATGGATCTATGAAATTTCTATATACTCCTAAATTAATGAGTACCCTAACTATCTTTAGGAGGATATTTACGTTGATCTTAAGGTATACTACCTAGTTAGTGGCTATAAGTTATTATGGTTTCTCTTGGTATGTGGACGTATTATCGTTAGCACTCTTATTGTTCCTAGGAGTTTCTTTAGGCGTCTATATCTCCGATCTTAGTTCCTATATGACTAGATCTTAGGAGCTGGTATTATTCTAGTCTCTATATTAAGTCTATCCTTAACTCTTAACTTCCTTAAAGTCAACGTCTAGAAATAGGTTTATTATCCTTTTCTAAGTCTTTTGTATGGCTTCTTGTAGATAGTTAAATTTTTCTTAGCGCTCCTTACTACTGGCTATTATTACTTTGAGTTACTATATCGCTCTATTAAGAGCGTTATCCTCTTCTCGTTTAAGCGCCTTCGCTCGTTAGTAGGCCGCGTTAAACCTTACGTTAATTGCTTCTGCCTTTTGGACCTTATTGCTTTAGGTCGTTTCTATTGGTTCGTCTTTAGCTATGGCCCGAAGTTATTGTGGTTTATTATAGCCTCCTCGCTCCTAAGTGGCTCTAAGTTACTAAGGTTACTCTTTACTTTAGTAATCCTTGATATGATGTCCTAGTTTTCTATATTTAAAACATAGGTTATTATTTTTACGTCTTTTCTATTCCTTATCGGGGAGTCTCGCTACGTCGAGCTCTATTAGTTATGGGCTATAATCGTCTTGTCTTAGTGCCCTATAACCGTAACTTCTGGGTTAGAAGCGGTTTCCTTATCCTAGGTTCCTTCTCTACTATTCGACCTCCTTCTTTTCCTATTGGCGGTTAAAGTACTAGTTATTAAATCGGGTTGCTATATCGATTAGTCCTATTATTATAGTTAGTCGATTAATGCGCGTAAGTTCGTCTTTTATATGGGATTTAAGTCCCTCTATATATCGCGGGATAAGGGCATAGTCATCCCATCCTAGCACTACTACGGTCTATATAAACTACGTGGTATAGGCTATAGTAGAAGTGGTCTATTAGAGTATTACTAGCTTCCTTTCCGCGTTAATGGTTGCATTAATTTCTCCGAATATCTTAGTTATATAAGCTACGAAGTTGCTATAGCTTATAAAGATATCTATTATTACTACGCTCTAATTAGGTCGATCTTTTTCGTAATATTCGCGGATATAGACTTTAAACTAGTCCTATGCTTATCCGCGAAGGTAAGTTGATACGAAGATGATCTTGCTTTCTTCGTCTATAAGTCGTGCTTAATTAACGTCGAGGTGTATTCTTATTTAAGTGAGAAAGCCTCTTAGCTTAGATCGAGTTCTATCGAAAGGCTTAGCTTTCGGGAGTTTCATGACATGCGTAGCTATGGCGGGAGCTGATGCTCTAACCTAGGTATTAAGCTGCGTGATGTGGTCCTATATATTAGGAATCTGATTTACATCTTGCGATAGGGCGTTGATTTAGCTAGTAAGTCCCACTATATAGGCTCTTAGCTATTGGATCAACTTAGTCTGATCCTTATTATCATTATCGCTATCTAGAGGTAGCCGCGCCGTTTATGACTATAGCGGCACTAGTAGTTATCTAGGTTTTAACATAGTTACTTATTACTTCATAAGATAATTTTATAAAGATAGGGCGTTTAATATGTTATACGGTGCTAACTAGTTATAGTAAGTATCGCTTATATGGTTCCTTATACGTATTAAGAGGCTCATCCTTAAGTCTTATATATAATTATACTATTACCGTTAGGCCTTACACGGGCTTAGATCTATAGAGTAGACTCTTATTAGGTAGTGCTAGATAGTAGCGCCTAGTCAAGCTATGCTTAGGATCTATATTAAGTAATAAGAGACTAAGTATACCTCTCCTAGTAGGGTGGGTTATCTTAAATACAAAATAAGTTATAAAGCTAGGGTTGTAGGTCCTAAGTAATAATATATAATTAAACGCGAAGAACTAAATATATCTATAGTAATGACCGTTCCTTATATATCTAATCCATCGCATCGCTAATAAGTCTAGGACTTATTACTAATCTATTCTGGTCTTATCGCTGATAAGCTATACTTATCGCCCGATAAGTCAGCACGTGATCCTTCCCTAGGATCCTTATCTTCCTAGGATACTAAGCTTCTCAGGATCCTTCGTATCATAGGATACTTCACGGTTATTAGTAACTATAGCCTATCGTAGGGTGTTATCGATCCTAGGATACTCTATATCCTAGGAATCTCCCTTTTGGTTCTAACCTATAGCTTATTATGGGATATCTCTAATCATAGGGTAGAGCCCGTCATAGGATCTTCCCTATTGGCGATAACCATGGCCTGTCACAGGATACTCCTTATCCTACGATCGTGCTTATTATGCGATCGTTCTTTTCCTAGGATGGTACTGAATCGTAGTGTCCTTCGGTTATTACGTATTATATATCCTATTATAAAGAGGCTATGGTTCTCTAAACCATGCCTTATATATGATCTGCACGTCGTCCCGTTCATCCAGGATGATTAGGTATAAGTGCCCCACGGGTAGTGCGGCCCCTTATAGGTCCGTAACACTACTATAGTAGTAAGGGATGTATATTTAGGACTAGAGCTCGCCCCTCTCTAGTCTCTAGTTTAATTTAGCTCTATAGCTTAACGCCACGAGCTTTACTAAATATGAGTAGTGCCGAGATTAATAGATCTTTATATCTTATTTTCTATGTATCTACTAACTTTACTATAGATCTTTTACTTAGCCCTATCTATCTTGGTCGTGGACTAGCGTTCTGAAAGCGCGATATTAAGAAAGCTATTCGCCTTATAACTCTTAATAGATGATCCTTAGGCGTTTAGCGCTATCTACGCGAAATATTATAAATTATATATAACTCTATTTACTTTCTATAATGCGATAATTATAAGTAGGATCCCTCTATGGAGTTAAGGAAATCCTTCTAGTATATATGTTCCCTATATCCGCGAAATTTCTTTTAAAAAGCGCCCTTTATATCCTGGCCCTTTACCCTTTATATTAACTATCACTTTAGCGTCTTAGGGCTAGCCTTTAAAAATCTAGGGGTGGACTCTAAAATAACCTATATTTCTATTTATATTTCCTCCCTTTTTAGGTTATATAAATACGTAGATATATTATTAGTTATATCAACGCTAAATAGAGACTCTATTATAGATCACCCTATTCTTATCCTTGCCTATAGCGTGCGTGCGCTCTAGCTACTAGTACCCTACCCTCTCTAGGCCCTTCTTACTAGGCTCTCGTAATAGGTCTATAATAATAAGACCCTTATTATTATAGAAAATCTTTTCACTAGGGTAGCTTAGGTGCTCTATGTACGCCTTAGAGGGGGAGGTAAATAGAGGGCTAGGGGCTAAAGGATTCTTATAATGGGGAGATTCTAGATAGATTAGATTGCCTATAGGTAAGGGAGTAAGGAGCTTAGTATATTAGAGAGCCTATTTAGGACGAAGCTTTAGGTCTAACGTATAGAAAAACTATATAATTATTAAAAGGAATAACTAGAAAGACTAGGGATCTAAGCTAGGTCGAAAATGGCATATTAATAGTCTAAAGATAGAGAGCGAAGTATCTTATAGTTCCCTAGTAGAACGTAGAGTATAAGTGGAGAGAAAATAATAGTTATAACGAAATAGAGTCTAATAGCGGCAGTAAGTATATATACTATGTAATTATAAATAATATTAAATCTATTTCGAGATACTTTAATTTTTTTTAACTAGGCATTATTAAAGAAATCTCCCTAGACGAAAGTAGTCTTCCCTTTCCTGGCTTTCTTATCTTGTACGCGGTACTAGCTATGGTTCTCCTTCTCTTCCTTCTTATATATATTAATAGCCGTGGCGCTAACTTCTAGGCTATAGGTATTATACCTAAAGCTCGCTAGTAAGAGTATATTAACTCTATGTCTATAGCCTAGTACTAGGGCCTTCCGCCTCTTACTATCCTAGGAAATAGGCCTAGTAATAGTGCTAGCTCGCTAGATTAGGGTGTCTTCTAGCGCGGGGTTAGGGAAGCCACGATCCTAGGGTAGATTATTACTATCCTAGAGGGAGGCCTAGCTATTAATATACTTATCGCCTAGATATTTGGCCTAGTATACTTAAATATCCTTAGGGTTAACGTTCGTAGAAGTCGTTATGGCTACGGGGTGGTGATGGCGTGTTAAGGAGATTACGTTTTAGTAATAAATAGGGTAGAAAATAAAAGTTTATAGAGTTATTAGAAAGCATTAACTATATAGGGAAGTAAATGATCTTAGGGGTAGGGCGTCTATTCTACTTATATATGCCTCTATAGACTTATAATTAAGTATCTTTTCGCTATTTCTAGAGATCCTTATTGATTAATTACCTTAAGCTTTAACTACGAACTAATAGTTAGTTAGGTATTAGGCCGAAAGTGAATTAACTAGTCTTTACCTATTTATTTATTATTCTAAGAGAGATCTATTGAGAAAAGTGGAGGTTTCTATTATAGTGATATAGGATTAGACTAGGTGGAAATCTTAAGCCCGCCGTCCTCTAAGACTTACGCCGCTCTCCATTTTTATTCACTATTCTTTACTAATATTCCCTAAGGGCTTAACTATTATTTAGACCGAGTATAGTAAACCACACTCGCTTAATCTACTATAAAAAGTTAGGGCGTTACGATTAGGTCTAACGTAGATAGGGACTAAAAAGATAAGTTAAGGTTTAACTAATAATATAAACTAAATACTATACTACCTAGAAATATAAATAAATATTCTAACGTAATAGCCTAGATATCTAGATATTAATAGGAGTAGTGGCTATGCCAAAATTATAATTAATAGGTTAGTTAACTAACTAAATTTAGGAGTAGATAAAGAAATTCCTAAAGAAGAAAGATAAGTATAACCCTTAAGGATAACTAGGTTTAGTTAGCCTTTATAGACGTACTAAATTAATTCTAGTCGTTCGATTATCGTAGCATATAATAAATACGATTAATTAGTCAGTCTAACCCACGATCCACGAGGCTAGAGCTTATAAGTTTAAAACCCGCCTAAATAGAGTAGATAGAAATTATCCCCTATTTATCATTGTATCTATAATAAGTTAGTAAGTTAGTTATTTTAACTAAAGCTAGGGAATGTCTAGTAATTACTCTAAGTAGATATGCCTAATAAATTAGTAAGATAGTTAAACTAACTCATTACGCTATAAGGAGGTGTTTTAATGTTGATTTATAGATAATACTTTCTGGTTATGCGACTGGCGAGGGATTCTCTTACTATATTATACTAAAGCTATAGGATAGCGTAGAATTAAGGCCTAAATGCTCTAGGTTAGAAAGCACTATAATAGGTATAATACTACTAATTACTATACCCTCTATATAATTAATATTTTAATATAGTGATAAGGACTTTACCTTATACGCCGCTACTAAATACCTTTTTAAATAGTCTACTACGCTTATATTCTCTCGCACGATATAATAAGATCGTCTAATTACTACTCGAGAAAGGAGCTAAGGTTAAGGCTTAAGGTAGAGAGCATTCCCACGCCTATTAAAGAATAGAATAAGATTATAGAAATCATCTAGCACACTAGGCTCCTAGTTAATCTATACCCCTCCCTTACTTTTATAACTTCTTTAATCACGTTATTAGATTTATAGCTTAAGTAGCTACTACTTAAATAGAATAAATTAGCTTAATAACTTACTATTATCTATAACTTCTCATAGATATGATTAGGTATATATAACTAAAATAATATTATGTCTTACTAGACATATATATAGAAATAATTATTTCTTTATAACTAATATAAAGAGGTTCCTTCACATCATTATTAAAGGCTATTTCTTTCGATTAACTAGAGACATTTTTAAATATCTATATTATCTCGCTTTATAATTTATATTAGCGAAGAATTTAGGACCCTTTTGGGTCCTAGAGGCCATAAGCCCGCACACTTATAAGCTTAAACTACCCGCTAGTATAAAGATCCACCTAGTATTTAACATTAGCCTACTATAGCTCGCGGCCAAGAACCTAATACATAAGTAGGTACCTAAACCCCCGCCTCTAATTAAAGTTAAAGGACTAGAGGAATAGGAAGTGGAAGATATCCTAGATTCCCGCTAGGAACGACGCGGTCATAGAGGCCCGCGCCTAAAATACACCATTAAATAGATTAGTTATAACGACCCTACTGAAGAACCCGCTGAATACCTCGCGTACGCCCGCGAAATCATCCAGAACTTCTATCGTAGATACCCCTATAAGCCCCGCCTTAATGGAGCTCGGCCCTAAGGGAGGGGGTACTGTCATAGTATAAACTATAAGGGTCCGCCCGGACCCGCCAGGACTGATAAGGAAGATATTGGAACATATAATCAGGGCGGTCAATCAAGGTCCTATGGGTATTTGATTCAATATATGTCTATCTGGTTATTCTCCTATCTCTATGCGCATACCTTATATGCTGGCTTACTAATCTAGCTAGCTTACATCATCAAAATTATACTAATATACCCCCTTAGCTTAAGCACCCTGTAATTAATTAAGCTAGACCCATAATTAGCTAATTCCTTTAATTCTATAATCTTCCTAATTAGCCTCTATTACCTAATTAGGCCATGCTACCTTATCATTCCCTCTATCTTATTCTATAATTAAATACTTAACGTCCACTAGGCCTAATAATTTAACGAATATCTCATACTTTTACCTTAGTAGTACCTTAGTAAGTCCGTCTACGACTATTTATCTAGTTAGAACCTATTAGATCCAAACTTAACCTTCCCTAACCTCTTATCTTAGCTAGTAACCATATATATCTGTCTGAGATTGGCAGGGTAACTGGTTACCAATCTCAGGGAATTAGATCAGATGAACAAGGCAATGTGGTCAAGCTGAGCTAATTCAGGGTCTTCTCAGGAAATTCTCAGGATAGAAAGTGGAGAAGAAATTGGCATGAGATTCAAACTATTCTGCCGAAATACGAGAACTAAATACCTGAGATTTAGAGAAGAAATCAAACAGAACAAACAAATCAAGTAAAATATCACATGATATGACATAAATGAAATAGCGGAGAATTCCGGTAAAAAAGTGCGAACTCAGAGAACACGTAAGGACTCCATTCTCTGACAATATCTATATATTGAAGCTTAGTATTAAATGGTGTATCTTCCACGTTAATTAGGTTAACTATATAGGTATTATTATATTTAATCGTGAGTTTATCTAGGTATTTAAACCCGATCCTTCTAAATAGTCTATCCCACCACTATAACGCTTTACTAGTATCTAAGAGACCTAATAACTCGGCCTTAGTAGTAGATATAGTAACTATTCTCTACCTTATCGCCTTCTAGTTAACTAGGCCTCTAAATATCTAATATATATATCTAGTAGAGCTTGTCTAATTACCGTTATCTATATATAAAGCGTCGCTTAATATCCTAACCATATCCTAGTTATCTTTAACTAGCCTATACTAGATCCCCTAGTATCTTATCGTGTAAAGGTAATATATAAGGTATTCGATCGCGGAGTGATACTTAGGCCCTAGGTTCTAAAGGAACTAGGCGAGGGTTAAAGCCTTCTTCACTATATCTAGATAGGTAATTATAGTGCTATACTAGACTAATCCTACCTTCTACTAGTAATTATATATGCTCTATAGACTCGCTTACCCCTTAAATAAGTTAAGCTTCTCTACGGCCCCTAGTGTCTATATATATACTCGTCTAGTGAGGTTATACTACTCTATAATACTTATAAAGTAGCTATCTTAAACTAACTAGAGTTTCTATTCTATATAGTTCTATAAGATTCTAATCCTAAGGAACTATTTAGTATCACCTTAATCTATAAGCTCCTAATATTTCTTAAGCTCTTACTTAAGCTACTATACTCATTCTCTTACTATATAATAACTCGCTATAAGGATATTATTAATATAGAAGAATATAATAATCCCTACTCTAATAAATATATATAGATCCTCCACGACCTACTCTAAACTAAGACCTTTTAAAACCCTTATAGCGTCTTACTACTAGAGTCTTGATATAATTCTTAGTCTATATAAGGCCCTAAGTAATAACTAGCATCTCCCTTAGGTCTTAAAGCCTTCTAGTATTAAGGTATACACTTCTATATAGAGCTTACTATTTAGAAATATAGTAACCGTATCTCGCTAATGGAGATCTAAGTTGTACGCCATATATAGGGCGAAAAGCGTCCTCGCTATCTAAGTAGTAAGTGTTACTACCCATTTTTCTTTAGCTAAAATAGATTATAAGTCTCTACGTATATATATCTATACCTTACACTTAATAAGAAACCCGTCCTAATCGAATTTATACGTGTATACCTATATAAGCGATAGCACTTACGTCCCTCGATCCTTTAGTATCTTAACTTCTTAGTACGTTTCCTTCGCTTATAACCTATCTAGTTCTACCCTTATAGCCTTAATAAATCCATTACTTAATAGATACTTCTAGACGTCTTTATAATATTCTAGCGGTAGTAGAAGATTATCTTAGTATTATTAGTATAAGGGCTTTAGGGCGTATAGACCTATTATAAAGGCTTAGAGGGTCATGGATATAGTATTATTATCTACTAACATCGTCGTGTGGTAGGCGAAATCCTTATCTCATCGCTATCTACGTATCCTCGGTCTATTTATGATATTCCCGATATCTAGAGCCACTCTATCTACGTCCTTAACCTC